CCCCCAACCCCTCCTACACCTCCGGATAATAATGCTCCACGTAAGTATTATTACGGGCTCTGATAAGCCTACCCTAAGTTAGGGATGACTAGACTGTAGTCAATCCGTAACCGCTATTTCGGACTTTTTGTTTCGGCTGAATATTCCGAAACAAATTTAAGTAAATAAGATATGTATTGAAGTTTTGGGCCTCTCCCACCAAATAGTAAATCGCCTGACAACAATCCAACGTGTAAAATATGGGATGGGAATATTGGATTTTGTTACCTTATCTGAACCTGTATCAGCCAGTGGTGGGACAGGTCCTTAGTGTTTTCAACATTTTTGCATGTACAAGGTTCTTAATTGACGGATGATAGCGTTGTAATTTATGTTCAATAACTTTCAACCAGACATTTAAATAATATATAGACGAGGCAGTAAATTTTTTACACCGGTAACTTCTCTCAAAGGTACTATATCAATCAAGTTTAGTGCCACCTCGTCTATTGACGTAATAAAATATTTTACTAAATTATATTAAGCTCCATCTATAGTATTATAATAAAGCGTAAACACACACTTCTTTGTTGCCTAAGATCTCAGAAATTACAGCACATTTTTAAGTAATTCTTTTTTTAATAAAAAGCCCTACACTTACGTCACACTTTAGGCTATATATTTTAACGCCATTAAACTTAGGGCGTAAATATTTTGGATAACCCCTAATGTGGGAAAGAGACCTTAAGTTGCTGCCAACATCAAGGGAGCAAGATTGCCAAGGTCATGTCATTTTGACATTTGCTATTGCTGATTTGACAAATGCAAACAATAAATTTATAATTTCATGCGGATGAAGCCGCATGGGAACAGCTAGTCTTTTATAAAATAAACAAAACTTTGTTATTAATTATCAACATTTAAACATTTAATGACACTTATTGGCAATGAATAGATAGCGTTAGTTATGTGAAAAAAGTTTCAAGTAATAAACATTTAATTACCTCAAAAATACATTGCAACATAATACATTTGCGAAAAAAATACAAACAAGAAAAAGTTAAATTAACTTTGCCTCTATATGTTTAAATTTCTTTGCTGTTACTCTTTCCCAACACTGGCTGATAGAGGCTCAGATAGCTTAAAAATGACGTCACTGTCATAAGGTAACAAAATCCGATATTTCCATCATATTTTACACGTTGGATTGTTAGACAATTTCGCACCCCATCTTCGTACTGCAGGGCGCGCCCGGTGTAATACCACGACCACACAGAAAACAGGCGTGAAGTGGAAGCAATTCCGCGTTTCGTCTGATGAATGTGGTGCCGGAGGCTTAATTTTACTGCTTTTTCCTTTCCACCCTTTTCTTAAGGGGAAAGGATGGGAGGGAAAAGTGGATTTGACGGTGGAGGAGACGCATAGGAAGGGGAAATGTCCTCTTTATGTCCGTCTTCGTCAATGAAGGGTAGGCAACGCTGCAATTGCGGATGTCTATGGTCAGCGGTCACTTTCCATTTCGGTTGATTCAGGTGGCCACTTGATCTTTTGCCACCTTGTATTATATGTAAAAAAAAATTACAATTTAGTGTGACAGGCTCTAAATGAAAGAATAATTCCAGCGATGCCATGGTTTGGTATGGATATCGGAGGTACACTAACAAAGTTAGTATATTTTGAACCTCGGGAGAATAATAGACGGGAATTGGATAAAGAGACAGAAGTATTAAAAAATATAAGAAGGTATCTGACAAGGAATTCAGCGTATGGGAAAACTGGAAGACGAGATGTACATTTACAGGTAAGTTTGTAGTTAATTTGAAGAAAACTTCAAAAAAAATCACTACTGCTAGATTTTCCCGGAGAGTTCATCTGTTCATAATATTAGTAAGATTTCATTGTTTGGGCTAAACTCCGAAACTATTAAACTTATTTGAAAAAGACTAAGTCTGCAGTCCATTGTTGTCATTATTTTCTCATCTTTTGTGACAAAAATCGTTTTTTTATACTAGCTTTCGCCCTCAACTCCGTTCGTGTGGAATTTTAAAAAAATCAAGTAGCCTATGTGTTCTTCCAGACTATCTTCGACATCAATATCAAATTACATCGAAATCCATTCAGCAGTTTAGGCTACAAACTCTAACTAACATCCCTCCATCTAAAATTATGCATTTATAATATTAGTATGATTTATTTAAAAATTCTTTCGCCATTAGAAAGCTACGTTATTACTAAGTAATTAATAAATACGAAAGTTTAGATGGATGTTTGTAGCCTAAACTAAACGAATCTCGAAATTCAAAGACGTAGAACATCTGGAACATAGGATACTTAGGGCCTGTCCCACCACTGGCTGATAGTGGCTCAGATAGCTTCACAACGTCACTATCAGATAAGGTATCTAAATCCGATATTTCCATCACATATTTTTGGTTTGTAGACAATTTACAATTTGGTGGGACAGGTCCTAATTTTTTGAAATTCCCAGCAGACGAAGTCGCGGGTAAAAGCTAGTTTTAGTATATTTTTTGCGTGAATTCGCAATTTTTAGTTGATTCCTATTTTAGATGGAGAATGTAACAATCCGAGGTCGTCGTGGTTCCCTTCATTTTATTAGGTTCCCAACCAGTGAGGTTGGGGCTTTCCTACAATTAGCTAGGTCTAAAGGGATGGCGGACCTTGTTAATACTATTTACGCGACTGGTGGAGGTGCATATAAATTTGAAGAGGATTTTAAAAAGGTATAATTGGTTATACCAATTCATACAAACAAAAATTTATACTAATATAATAAAGCGTAAACACACTACTTTGTGGCGTAGGATGTCAGCAATTACAGCATATTTTTGAATAATTCTATTTTAAATGAAAAGCCCTACACTAGCGTCACGCTTTAGGCTATTTATTTTCACGCTGTTAAACTTAGGGGATGAGTAAATTGAAAAAAAATAATTTGTAAGTCAGGTACAAAAGCTACAAGTCAAGCAGCAAAGGATTAAAGTTTCTATGGTTACTTAAATTCTCAATTAAAATGCCTGTTATAATGTACGAGCTGTTCCTATGCGCCTTCTTCCGCATGAAATTATTAAAAAAAATATAGACATTTGGGAAAGTATCAATTGAAAATGTCATAGTACAAATGACAACGAAGGCCTTTGACATTGGATAACAATTACCGTTACCAGCAATCTAGCTTCCGTGATGTAGTATTTGTCCCTTTCCCGCATGAAGGTTTTTTCAAATTTATTTACCCTCTAAGTTTAATAGCGTGGAAATATATAGCCTAAAGCATGTCGTAAGTGTAGGGCTTTTTATTAAAGAGAGAATTATTCAAAAATATGCTGTGATTGCTGACATCCTACGCCACAAAGTATTGTGTTTACACTTTATTATATTAGTATATATTTCAAATTTGATAGAAATTGAAAGTTTTAATATAGACTGTTTTTTTATAATTTACTATATCCTTTGTTTAGGAGGTAAATATGCGTCTGTCAAAGTTAGACGAATTGGACGCGTTGATAGCTGGCGTGCTGTTCGTTGACAGTATGAATGCCCAGGAATGCTATTACTGGGCACCCCCTAACGAGCGCCCCGTGCATCAGCAGCCCAGCGACACGGTAAGAGACCAGGGTAGAGACTTTTTGTTGAGTGTCAAAGTGAAATTCCCAAGTCAAGGTCAAAGGAAGTCAAATTCTAGTTCTTTCGTACTGTATTTTGTAAAAAAATTACTCTGCTACAGCATAAGTAGGTTTTTTAGCCCTAGACGGAATATCTTGTATATTTTTCTTTTTGTTAGGGTTTTATTCTTATTTTATTATATTATTAGTATGATAAAAATCTTTTTTTATTACATAGAATGTAATAAAAAAGAATTATTCGTGTTTTTTCATGTTTTTACGTGTTTTTTTCTTATTTCTCAAATCTAAAATGATTTTTTTCTATTAATTAATTTTTGTTCTTATATCTCACACTTAAGATGATATCAGTTAATTAAAAAAACTTTTTTTTTATATTAAGATGGAATTACAGACCTTTTTGTTTTTTTTTGCTATTTTAAAAAGTTTTTTTTATATCCCCAGCCTCCATATTCAGCGGAAGCGTTAAGCGTTTACGTACGTAAGCCGTACGACTTCTCATCACCGTACCCCTTCCTGCTGGTGAACATCGGCAGCGGCGTCTCCATGCTGGTGGTTAATGGACCCAATGACTACTTCAGAGTTAGCGGGACAAGGTAGGAATTTTTAAGTCTTTTTATCCAATTCCCTTCTATTATCGTGGTTCAAAATATACTAATTGTTAGTAACCCCGATATCCATTCCAAACCATGCCATTGTTGGAATTATGCCTACATTTACGGCCTGTCCCACAAATTATAAATTTTCTAACAATCCAAGTAAAATATGATGGAAATATCGGATTTTGTTACCTTATGACATTGACGTTAAGCTGTCTAAGCCTCTATCAGCCATTTGTGGGACAGGATCTTAATATCGTAATTGTTATGTATGGATTTGTATGTATATTTGATGTCATTTAAAGGATACATTTGTGTGTGTTTCTTTAAATGTACATTTCTCCTACAGCCTGGGAGGAGGTACATTCCTCGGTCTCTGCTGTTTGTTGACTGGATGCAGTAGTTTTGAGGAGGCCATAGCGTTAGCGGCATCAGGTGATAATACCACCGTTGACAAACTCGTGAGAGATATATATGGTGGGGATTACGCACGATTTGGATTGCCGGGCGATTTGGTTGCTAGTAGGTAAGTGGGTTTAAACTTGTATGTAATTTTGGTTGTAAGAATCTTAAAAAAACTTGACTAGCTGACTTTTTTCTATACTCTACATGTGCCAAATTTCATCTGAATCCTTTAAGTAGAGGCTACAAATTTTAATAAATATCCATCTAAATTCGCATTTATATTAGTAAGTGTAGTATTAAGAAATAAAATTAATTTTTTAAAATTTAATTCAAATAAATTGTTTAAGGTCGTAAAGTATATTGTCGTATTACTAAGAAAATATACGATGTTTTATAAATTTGTGTGTTTTCAATATCTATATGCCCATTTTCTTGGAATGTAACAAGTGAGTTTTTCAGACCGAATGGCAGTTTGAAATTTTTCAACTTCGATTTTTTTGTTATTTTTTTCATAATTATCTTCCAGTTTCGGTCAAATGTGTTCAGCGGAACGCCGAGCGAAGGTTTCCCGTGAGGATTTGGCGAGAGCCACATTAGTTACTATTACTAATAATATCGGCTCTATAGCAAGACTTTGTGCCTCTAATGAAAATATTGAGCGGGTAAGTAAACATAGCCTTAACTTAAGCTAAGCTACAACAATAAACGAAATTCACATCATTAATGGTGAATAAATTGCTAAATTTTATCAAAATGTCAAAATTTAAGAACTTTATGGTTAACTAGCTTTCGCACGCGACTCCGTCCGCGTGGAATTAAAAATAACGAAAGTGAATAGCCTATGTGTTCTTCCGGACTATCCACTTCTATACCAAATTTCATCGAGATTCGTTTAACAGTCATTAAGCTATCTGAACCTCTATCAGCCAGTGTTAGGACAGGCCCTTATAAAAGTGTATTTGCTCTCCAGGTGGTGTTTTGTGGTAATTTCCTGCGAGTTAATCCTCTATCTATGAAGTTACTGTCATATGCTATGAGTTACTGGTCAAGGGGTGCTTTAAAAGCATTATTCCTAGAACATGAAGGGTAAGATTTATATTCTAGCTTTCGCCCGCGACTCCGTCCGCGTGAAATTACAAAAAAACTGAGTAGCCTATGTGTTCTTCCAGACTATCCTCTACATCTATACCAAATTTCATCGAAATCCGTTCAGCAGTTTAGGCTACAAACTCTAACAAACATCCATCTAAATTTTTATAATATTAGTATGATTTACAACTTTCATCCGCGCAGTATTAAAAAAACTTAGTTATTACTGAAAACTGCATATCCATCGGGAACCTGCTAATTTTCAATGATGAAACGTATCCCATGTGTTATTCGAATAAAATTAAAAAAAATATAATAAACATAGCCTATGTTACTCACTGATAACTTAGCTTTCTAACGGTGAAAGAATTTGAAATCTGTCCAATTGTGTTTAAGTTATTTCAATACATACAAAAATACAAAAACGCAAATTGTTCCTCTTCATACAATATTTTTTCAGCGACACCGTTCGCGTGAAATTTAAAAATAATAAATAAATGAAAAAATATAGCCTATGTTACTCACAGATAAATTACCTTTCTAACTGTGTAAGAATTTTTAAAATCGGCCCAGTAGTTTTTGAGCCTATTCATTACAATAAAACAAACAAAGTTTTCCTCTGTGTAATATTAGTATACAAGTATGAATTTAAAAATCTCTTAATTCACTATATCATTAAAAAACTGCATCAAAATCCCTTACGAAGTTTAGACAGATGGACTTCCTTTCCCTCTGTTTCTTTCTTTCTCTCTTTATACTAATGTAGTAATTTTAGTAATATCAATTGTAAAATATATATTTTTCAGTTATTTCGGCGCTGTTGGTTGCTTACTTCACTTAGATATCAACCACCGTAAGGAGAATAATCGGCATTCTGTGGAGACGAGTCAAGCGGACAGGTGAACTTGAAACTTCACTATAAAATACACTATATATTGGCACAATATTATATTATGTTGAACTATGGGACTATATTGTGTTGAACTATAGGAGAATATCATGTTGAACTATGGGACAATATTTTTTTGAACAATGAGGCAATGTTATGTTGAACTACGGTTGAACTATAGGATTATATTGTGTTGATCTATGGCACAATAGTGTGTTGAACTATGAAACAATATTATGTTGATCTATTGTACAATATTATGTTGAACTATAGGACAATATTATGATGGTCTACTGGAATATTATGTTGAACTATTGTACAATATTATGTTGAACTATAGGACAATATTATGATGGTCTACTGGACAATATTATGTTGAACTATTGTACAATATTGAGTTGAACTATAGGACAATATTATGTTGAAATATTGTACAATATTGAGTTGAACTATAGGACTATATTGTGTTGAACTATAGGACAATATTATGTTGAAATATAGGACAATATTATGTTGAACTATAGGACAATATTATGTTGAAATATAGGACAATATTATGTTGAAATATAGGACAATATTATGTTGAACTATAGGACAATATTGTGTTGAAATATAGGACAATATTATGTTGAACTATTGTACAATACTATGTTGGACTACGAGACAATATTATGTTGAACTATTGTACAATATTGAGTTGAACTAGAGGACAATATTATGTTGAAATATAGGACAATATTGTGTTGAATTTTTAGACTTTATTAAATTTGGATACAATATCACATATGACTTTGAAGGAATATTTTGTATGTATGAAGAAACAATATATTGGTTTATAATTTAATAAAAGTTTTTTTCGTTCCAAATCTATATTGTCCCAGAAGTGTATATTATATTGGAATATATTGCATTATGCAGTTTGAAGCATTTATCTGCTTTTGGATATTGCGGTTTTTATTTTAGGTAAATGTAAATATGGGAACGGATAAGTTTTCTGATTTTTATTTATATTTTGATATTTGGTTTTTTAAAAACGGTAAAATGACATTGTTTTAGTAAATGATTATAATCTGTATAATTACATATGGTTGTTATTGAAATAGGATTTTTTTAGGATCTTTACGTTGAAAAATCGATACGAATGGTTTCATCACAAAATATAATGAAGTTTTATTTTATATAGCGATATTTCGGTGAGTGCTTTAGGTAGGTTCTGTCGGAAAATATGTAAATTATGTGTTTTATTCAAATTTGATAGAAATATATATATATATATATATCCTATATATGCATATGACGCCAAAGGGGGATGTTTCCTAATGTTACAAATTCAAATAAAGTTATGTTTAATATTTTAAAGACAGTATTTTAAAACCTATAATAACATTTGGAGACCTTAAATGTTTGTCTCCATTGAAATGTAATTTAAAAACGCTGCAATATTTTTTACCCTCCATTACTCTATCTCAAACACCAATCAGAGCTCGGTGACGTCACTTCTTCGCAAACATGGCAGTGTGACCAGCTTCAGTGAATGTCAGTGCATTTTGTAGTTATAATTTTTTTTTTAATGATTGTAATAATTGAGTTTGCGTGTGTTATATTATGAAGACTCCATTATTAAGTGTTTTTAAGAAATAGATAATTTCTATTAAATTTGATAAAACACAAGCCTGTATTAAGAGAGTATATAATAGTGTCTGCTAAACTAACTAATTGTTAAAATATCGTTTTAAAAATTATATTTAAAGTGTCTATTTGACTAATAGAATATAATAAATTATTTAAAATGGTAAACGGAACGGTTTTTTTTCATTTGACATCTGTCAAAATTGACAGGACTGTGAGAAAATTATGTTTTCATTAAGTTTTTCTGTTTGTAAATTCGTTTGGAGTAAATAATTTAAATTTGTCTTTTAAAGATGACGTTTCATGTCTGTAGATATGTAATCTATAGATGGAGTATGTAAAGACGTATTTTGTATTTAAAATGACAAAACTGAGGTTTACTCGAAGAAGCATAAACAAGCTTTTTTACTCTTTCTGTAGATTGTATATCTATAGATAAGGGATGAAGTAATAGGGAAAAATAGTTAT